TTCAGACCAAGATATATACGAGAGCACATGCATGAATAAAAATTGATGCGTAGAGCAAATAAATACAAACAACCAAAAATATGAACACTAAATAATGTCGAATATGTAACTACACCAATGATAACATTTACCTATGGCACCGATTGCATCAAGACGATCAGCATCTTGCACCACCCCAAATTCTGGGTATTGAATACCCCCTGCAAGTCCTGCAACCTCCTCTTTGAAACCTGAAAATGTGAAACAGTTCCAACTTTTTTTGCCATATATTCGTTAAAAATGGGATAACTGAATGAAACATATGTCTCTCGAAGTCGAGCGTAAAAGTATGCACCTTGATGCAAATTGCTTCAAGTCGATTGGAACAAAATGTAGATGTTTCACATGCATTTAAAGCAAACATACCCATTCCCTTTATGATGCCTAATATCTGTGACTTGATACTTTCATCTACTCCTTCGTTGACAAGGAAGTCCTCAACAATCTTCCCTTCAGACGGATCTCTAGATTTTATAATATTAAAACAAGAAATAGTTAATCAGAGACCATTTTGGGTGGACAATTCAATCATATAATTTTGGGTTGAAGTGAGAAAATAGTTAATCAGAGACCATTTTGAGAGGAAATATTTAAAAGTTTTCTTTTTTGGGCTAAAATTAGGAAAAGGATACACTTCATTCAGCTTCTTTGGTGTGGTATTGTTCCAACATTTCAATGCATATAATTTTTAAGATATCATCAAGTGTCCATAAAATTGCAAGTTTTAGTCAATCAGAGACCATTTTGGGTGGACAATTCAATCATATAATTTTGGGTTCAAGTGAGAAAATAGTTAATCAGAGACCATTTTGAGAGAAACTATTAAAAATTTTTTTTTTGGGCTAAAATTAGGAAAAGGATACACTTCATTCAGCTTCTTTCGTGTGGTATTGTTCCAACATTTCAATGCATATAATTTTTAAGATATCATCAAGTGTCCATAAAATTGCAAGTTTTAGTCAATGAACCAATAGATTTCATTTTTCTCCAGCAAAACATCCAAAAATTAAAAAAATCAAATAATAATAAAAAATATAAAATTGCTTTTCATGGTTGGATGTAGTAATATGCAAGTGAAGCAGACAGTGTATGACACATAAGCAGTCACTTAAGGAGAGAAAGGATAACAAAGCTAACCTCATATATTTATAGTCCCCTGCAGTTGTAATCCAATAAAATATCATTAGAAGATTCAGTACATTTACATAAAAAACATACGCATTAATAAATGAAATATATAAGAAGATAATCAACTATGTTGACGATAGGCAAAAATCCGTAAATTGCTACGAGCACAGCAATGGTATCTTAAACATCACTCATAAACTATCAGATGACCAATGTCATATATAAAGACAGAAGGAGTAATAATACACAAGAACAAAACTGCATATAACCAATAATCAGTCCTCCAAAAATGATAATTTACGTAAGTGTGGGTTGAGTAGCACTCATGTCTAGTTCCATATCCGTGCTCATATGATTTTGTATTGGTCATCACCCAAAGACAGTAAATAATGATGCAATCCATTAAGTCAACGAGAATAAAGTTAGAGAACTAATGTCCCATGGTAGCTCATTGCTCTCATTACCCTGAGCCAGTAACAACATAGAAAACCAAAGGAAATGAAGGCAATGTTACCTATGTCATGTAGAAGTGCAGCTAACTCCACCTGAAATGTAAGAGAAGATATAATCTCAACAAGTACGTTCTGTTTAGACATTTGAAACATAGGAGAAAAAAATATTCTGATCCCCAAAAATAATCAAGCACACAAACGCCATAGAAGAGAGGAGATTCATGAAAACTGAAGTTCATATCTTCATGGTGCTTACATTCAAACAAACTATGACTACAATTCCATTCACAACACGTGACGATATCCACATACAGCAATCACAAAACTGACATCAAATCATAAGGCAGTAAAACCAGAGAGCACAAATTGGACATTGAAAAAGACATAAGCATGAAAGTCAATAAATGCAGCCAAACCCAACCCAGGTCAAAACCCTGCTCCCTATCCAAAAATTTCAGTGAGATTTCACATGTACGCCCGTAAACATCGTCCTCGTTCACAACACACCACACCAGAAACGCAAATATTAAAATTGGCGTACAATGAGAATCGAATCAGGGGAAGACGAAAAACCCTCTTCACGGGCTAGAGAAAGGGCTAGGTCTCTGACTCTGAAGGCGTGGGCCGCGTCATGGGATGCGTCGTTGCCTCCCATGGCGGATTTAACCAACTCCTCTGCCCTTGCGATTATCTCACTCTTCCCCATACTCTCTCTCCCCACTCGTTGAATGCTCGGAGGTGCAAGCGGGCTGCTAATGGCCGCTGAAACAGGGTTTGACTTGTGGCGACTCGCCCTGCAGTATGTATAATGGCGGCGCTCGATTATTGGTGCTCGAGAAAGCGAGGCCCTGGGCTGATTACGTTGACTCGAAACTGGGGCCCCGGAGAAAACGCGAATTGAGGAGCTACCACAGGTACTCATGTTTATCATTTGAATTTTTTTAATGAACCGTCAGGTCGGGTCGGTTCATTTGAACCGGTCCTTAGATATAGCCGGCTGGTTTCGGGCCCAGCATTTGAGGCCCGCCGGCTCTACGTTTGGTCACATCTACGTAGCCCGTGCGATGTACGGGACAAACATATTAGATGAGTTAGTTATTTTCACAGTCTTTGTCCGTTTAAGTCTAAAAAACAATAGAGTTATCATTTATTTTCTACGTTAAGTCTAAAAAAACAATAGGGTAAAATAATTAATTCATTATCACACTAACACATTCATACTAATATAAATTTAATTTTAGTATATGTATATATATTTATTCCTTGATATAAGAGAAAATAACAGTTTTTACTTATTCTTGTTCACCATATAATATTTAATTATTATTTTATTATAAACTTTTTTGTCATATAATGTCAAAAAATTATTATTGTGGTATATTATTTTGATTCATTTTATAGTAATTCAATATAAATATATTTTTTAAAAAAAAATATTTTGATATAATTCTAAAATTATATTATAAATTTATTGGTACCAACTTTGTCAAAATAATAAAATTTAAGATAAACCAAACCAAATACAAAATATACAACAACAACAACACACCCAGTATATTCCCAACAGGTTGGGGTCTGGGTGGCCAGTTGTACGCAGACCTTACCCTTGTAATTATACAAGGAAGCTGTTTCCGTAGCGACCCAAGGTGCATTGCGTCGTTTGATATATTTTTTTTCTAGAAACTTCACTAATAGAAGAAGCACTAGAATTTAATTGAGTCATTTTGATCTAGTCCATTATTAGCACTATGTCAGAAGAATTATCAACGATGACTCTTCCAACTCCATTTGCAATGGACAAGTACAAAATATATAAAAATAAATAAAAAAATGTAGAATTATGAATAGTATTTCATCCGATATGACAGTACTGTTCATAACTCTAGAGTAGCGCATAAACAAAGCGCAACATTGGACTTCACTTCTTGCGAAATTCTAGCGACGGTATAGTTGCAGCATTGGGCTGCTGTAAGGACATCATTAACAACCAAACCCCTTAAACCTAATCTTTAATTTTCCATATGCTACATCATTCAAAACCTCAATCTTACTAGATCTCAAATAACAATAAACTTCATAAACCTATTTTTATGGACCCATAAATTTTCTTTCATTATATTATATACTTAAATATTAATCTTAAATAGATTTAGAAAAGAAATAAGTAGACATAGGTCCCACTTAATAATGCTAAGGAGCCAGCTGTTGGCTCCGTTATGGAGTCAACAACCAATGGGACAGCTCCATGTGGGGCTGTTCCACATGGCTCCAATGTGAGACAGCCCCACATGGAGCTGTCCCATTGACTGTTGGCTCCATAACGCAGCAGTTAGTTCCTTAGCATTACTGAGGTCCCACTAGGTGTAAAAGAACAATAAGATTAAAAAAATCAAGTGGACGTGGGTGAGGTGCATGGGAGGTTAGCCTTTACAAACCTGGTTTGTATTTTCAATCTTCGAATCTCTCTGTTATAATGATAAATATCAAAATTTGTGTTTTCAAACCTTATTCAAAACTCATTACTCTCTAACATTCGTACTAAATTAATTTTATAGTAAAAAGGTGGAGAAAATGCAAAAAGCCCAAAAAGTGACTAAAGTAGGAGGTGCGAGTATGATTCTAAGAATAAATAGCCTTTTCCCTTTTCAATCAAAAAGTCATTTCTTTTATTTATGTTCATACGTTTTGCATAAATTTATATTCTCTAGCTTGAAATGAAATTAAGTAGAAGAATATTTTCAAATAGCCCCTACAGATTTTAAAATGACTCCAATCCTCACTTTATAAAATAGTTAATTATATATTTTATATATAAATTTATGAAGTGTATTCTCGTTAATAATATAAAGTTTGTATAAAAAATTTGACGAAAACGTAAATTGTTATTTAATTAACAAAAAAGTATAAAAATATATATATAAAGAGTCAGTAAAATTTTACGCTCTTTTCAAAATTTTGTCTTTATATTAAACATATAATTATTCTATGTTATGTTATAATTTATAAATAATTTATGATAATTTAATTTATAATTAATTTTTGGTAAGTTAGACATAATTATTAATTATAGGTATATTTTCAACTTAGGTATCCGCACAAATTACAGAATGCTACATTCTTTTTTCAAATAAAGTAAAACTACGTTTGTATTGAGAAATTTAAAATTCGTTGATTTCAAATTTTTGAAAATACATTTTGTTTTTTACTTTCAAACTCCTTGATTAATGGATTTGTGAAAAACATTATAAATCTATTGTCTAGTTCGCATCTATGGTGTTGACTCGCTGTGTTGATGAATCTAAATGAAGAGTCATACTCACAGACGGTGTGGTCGTCAATGGTGGGATAAACAGTAGATTTCAAATGACTAGACTTAAGGAGTCTTTTAAAATCCTTCAAATAATGACTAAAATCTATCTAGCGTGAATTTGAAATTCTATAACTTCTATTATCATCCAAATATATATGGAGATTTGAACTTATAAATTTGAATATTATATATTTCAAATTCCTCAATAAATCTCTCAATCCAAGCGTAATCTAATTGTATTTGGCGATAAAATTTTAATGTCTATTTATAGTCTTCATTCTCTTTAGTAATATATAGATTTTACAAAAATAAAAAATGATAGTTATAGTATCACGAATTCGAGTTCAACTCATTCATATCAATTAAATAATTGAGTTTGATCAATTAATTAAGCTCATTTATTACATGGGTTGAGTCGGATCGTATTCGTGATTATTCATTAATGTTCACAAACATGAATATTTTTGCTATAGAGCCATCCATAACGTTATGTATTGACACGTGCCAAATGTGTATTTATTGCAAGACACATGTCAATACACAATTTGTAGATAACTACGGATGACTCCATTAGTCGAGCCATCCGATGACTCTATAGCAAAACCGTTATGATTTAGTTAAGACTTATGACTAATTAACTAAATGAAACATAAAGTACAAATTGTACTTAACTAGCCGATTTTGAGTTTGATCAAGCTCAATTTATTAAATGAACCAAGCCAAAATGCTTGTTTATTAAATAAGCTCGTTATACGACTTGTCATTTTTTTTGGAGATTTACATATCGTTTCATTGAATATGTTATATAAATAACTGAGATTAGGTTGAAGATTTCATATGGTCATATATCTATTATTTGTAAATAATAACTGATCAGCTCTAAGAGGTTATTTTTTTTAAATAAGACATAACAATTTATCAGCTCCAATATATCTTAAAAGATATCACAACTTTTAATAAGATCATTTTAATAAATTTAGAGAAACATCATCTAAGATTTTGAACAACACTATATAATGTATTTGACAAAGCCATTTACTTATATTATTTTTTGGCACAAGTATTTGAAGGAGTATTATCATGTCATGGGGTGCAAATATTGATGCCATTACACCAAACAAGAGAGAGCAAAAAAAAAAGAAAAAAAAAAGAGAGAGAAAAGCATCTAACAATAAAAATACATTTCAATTATTGTATATCTATAAGCCCTCGCCCTTATAGCCATTTCTCACTTATTTCGTAGTCTACACATAATTTTTGAGTTCACCAAGACGTGCATTCTACTTGGATATCCCAAAAATAGTTATCAATCAAGAGAACTACTCTTATCTTATATTATGCAGGATATTTAACTAAATTAGTTCATTAAACATTTTCTACATTCCTAGGTACAAACTTGAACCATTGTACTTGTGGATTGTCTGGACAAGTTGAAAGATCATGAAGATTGTTGTCAACACAAAGACACTTCTTAGTCACTAGGGCGGAGTTATAAATATTTTTCTCCAAACACATATATTTTCCGTGTTTGACTCGGGTAGCTAAATGAAGACCAATGCTCGATACAACCTTCCACTTGCTCGAGCAATCATACGAAACACGAGCGGTTTTACCATCTCCTGCAATCTTGAGGCACCATGATGTTCGAGCCAACTTGATTGGGCCACCGTCTTGGTGTTGAGCCCACTGGCTCGCATTTTTGCAGTTGGCTAGAAAGACGCTATTATTGCCTTGGTCAATTTGCACACATTGCCCACTTTGAGGATGGAACATTATGTAGTAGGTCGGATACCACGATCTCAGCTCTGAATCACAAAAGTGAGATATTTATTAGGATTTCTGAGTGATTAATCCTGAAAAATTGAATACTTTCAAAATATTGAAATGTGATAACATTGAATAACACGTCATCAATAAGGCTACGATTAGAAAGGTCTAATGGTTTGATAACTATATTTTTTTAATAGATATGAATTATTTCAAACTGAAATGTGATATTATAAAAAATAATATAAACAAAAGCTTGATATTTCATAACATAAGTAGATACTTTTATTACAAATATATGGCGAGTCGATCCCCTCANAAAATTTGAGAAAATTACAAATGTATGTCTTAATTATTTCAAATTCTCGTTATGTGACCCCATATTACCCAAAAAAAAAGGGAGAGAAAAAAAAAAAGGAACTTGGAACAGTAGGGTCATGAAAAGGTGAATTTAACTTTTAAAACTTTATTCATAACATAATTCAGAAGGTTCATGTGACCCCATACTACATTGAATCTTTTGCAACTACATTTTATTATTGAAGGTTCATGTGACCCCATACTACATTAAATCTTTTGCAACTACATTTTATTATTGCAAAAAGAATGCTTGATTCTTCAAGAGTAAAGATCAACTGGAATTGCTCTTCAATTAGTGACTAGACTTTTCAGAAATCTTTTCACATCATTGACGATAAATCGATCGATTATATTTCATGGCTAAAATTGCAAATATATTGTAATAAAAGTTAACTTTTTTTTTTTGGTACAATGTAATAAAAGTTACCTTGATTCTTCTGTCTTATGACTTGCAATCTGTCCAAGAAATCCTGATTTCTAGGACCATCCCAGTTGTAGTTCTCAACTCCATAAAATTCTTCTGGATTAACTTTCCCTTGTCTATAAATGTAACTGCCTTGAAATGCCCATAATACCCAATCAATGTCTTTCTCTGCCACCTCTGCTAGCAAGCAGGTAATATACCTGTTTTCACCCTCATTTTGACCCCTTTGGTCCAAACCAAATTCACTTAGAAAAAGTGGGTAAGGGTTACTTCCTGTTGTCAGGAAAAGGAAATTGTCCCTTGATGATTGAGTCACATTGGCACAAAATTTGTTAGTTTGGGCTGTCCACAACTCAGTGGGGAAAATAAATGTATACCAATGGGCCTCAAATACAGTTTTATTACTAAAATTTAGTTGTAATGATTTTTCCTTTAGAAAGCTAAGATTAGTGTCAAAAGTTAGGCCTGAGATTATAACAAGAAATTCAGGGCTGTTTTGGTTGATGGTCATAGCTCCTTGTTGCATGTATTTATACCACTCTTCCACATTTTCATGTTTACCTCTTATCTCATTTCTCATGCTCATACCCACCACCTGCACAATTAAATTGTCAATATCACATAAGGTTAAANTCGTGTAAAAAAAAAAAAAAAAAAAAAAAAAATTAGAAAGACTAACCCCATATGTATATTTGTAAGTCCTTGCCACCTCAGCCAGGCCCTGCAACCACTCGTCCGGGTCGAAATCCACATCTCCAAAAAACCCGTTTTTGTCGTCAAGACTACAACACCATCCGGGTCGGCTTATATGGTTGTCGAGGATAACCATTAGGTTGTACTGTCCAAGCACTATTACCACAACCTTATGAAGGGTTTGAATTTTCAGCCCCAAACTCCAAGGGTTGTTTTTCAAAACACCGGCTTTTGCATCGCTAAGGTTGTACTTATCAAGGGATTGGGATACCGTGAGGCCGTAATAATCGGGACGGGTGAACATGAACGTGGGCCACGTGAACCGCACGCACGTGAACCCGTCTGCAGCTATCTGCCCGGCTATCTCGTGTAAGGGCTTCTTTTCGAGCCCTTCGGCAATCATCGGCTCAAGGTGAGAAATCCAGTTGACGCACGCGAGTTTTACTCGTTCTCCGGTGTACTGGTTAACAATCCACCTAGAGCTGGTTGATAGAATTGTGCCATTGCTAATGTGAAGAAAAATGGATACCAAAAAAATGGCTTGTGTTATAATAATGCCTCTCATTCTTTTGTTTTGTATATGAGATTTTGGTTTGATTTTACCTAGCTTTAACTCCTATTTTGTAGTCGAGAGCATCTTAAGCTACAGATATATGGACCATATGGCCCAAAAGTAGTAATGTGTAGCTTATGTTTAATATAGTATGGTTTACTTGTTGTATATAGAAGGTTGGTTCTAATAACAGAACCAACTGTTGGCTTCATAGCAAAACTGTATGTTTATATATACTTAAAATTTTTTTATTTTATTGGTACGTCCCATTTGAAGGTATATTTACACTTCCAGCCCCCTTGACATATATGAAATGTTAGATTTGTCCCGAGTCGTTATCTACTTTGTTCAATTCAGGATTTAGTTATCATGATCCCGAAATCGGAAACTGGACCATGATTTCGAACAGGATTTTGTCATCCTTTACTGTTGGTGTTTAGTACTTTTATGATTAAACTAATTGATATCGTGTAATGACATTTTTTTCTTAATTACCTAGTTTTTTTATGATTAACTAATGTGTAGTCCATGCGATGCACGGATAAATAATATTAAATAATAATTATAAATTAAAGAGTGAATAAATATTGAATAATAAATATAAATTAAAGAAGTGGGGTTAACATATAATATAGTTTATAATATAAAATTATCTTGTCTAAGATAACATAAAACATGTATATTTAAAATATTAAAAATACCTAAAATTTTATATCACATATGGAAGATTATCTAAAATATTATATATTACAGTTACAAAAATTGTGAATTCACCTAATTTTTTTCTAAACTATTTTGTAATCAAAACATGTTTAAAGAGACATTTAAATTTAACATATATATATATAGAACTTAATCTATAGAATGTAAAAAATTTGCCCAAATCTATATTTAGTAATTGCACATTACTCCAAAAGAGTGTAAAATAAGAACAATTGTTTACCTTTTGAAAACTAATGAATTTGAAATGATTTCAAATTCGGAATCAATTATGAATCTATGAAAAAATAATGGCAAAATTGCAGCTACTATCATGACCTTTATCGAGGTTGCAAATTAATCACAACCTTTTAACTTTTGCATAATATATCACACATTCACACCCTTCAATACTTTGCAAAACGATACACGGTTTTCATCTGCTGCGCCAACTCGTCTGACGTGACACTAAAAAATGCCAACGCACCTGCTGATGTATATTTAACAGACAATTTTTTTTGGCAAAATTGCGGCTAATATCATGACCTTTATCGATATTGCAAATTAATCACAACCTTTTAACTTTTTGCATAATATATCACGCCCTTAAATTCTTTGCAAAACGATACATAGTGTTGCACGTGTATTCAAACATCGCGTTGTCTCTCAATGAAGGTTAGCCGGATTACTTTGCACGTGTGTTCAATGATTCAATCACACGAAAAGAGAAAACAAATCCTAAATACTCTAATTCAATTGTTTTTGGTTTTGATTATCAACTACAAATTTTAAAAATAAAGCAAGACACACTTCAAATTCCAAATGGAGTTCAAATAATGACTGGTGAGTTAGGGAGTCGGAGATATTTGTTTATGGTTTTCAAGCAATCAATTAGCACACAACCGCTCGGTTAAGAGATCAAATAACATACTCGTTTAGAGGCTTGTTCTCTGTAACTCTTCGTAACAAGAGAACAAACATGAACGATCAATTATCGAACAATTAACACATAGATAATACATTAACGAACAAGCATATTCTAAACGAGCCGAGATCAATCAATTTCTCCCCTTCCAGTTCTACAAATTGATTAACTAGATTAGAATGATAATCAAACATCTAACCCTAGATTAAGCACAACTCGAATAGATTGAATGGCAAACACGCACACATGTATCGTTTTGCAAAGAATTGAAGGGCGTGATATATTATGCAAAAAGTTAAAAAGTTGTGATTAATATGCAATCTCGATAAAAGGTCATAATATTAGCTGCAATTTTGCCAAAAAAAAAAAAAAAATGTCTGTTAAATACCATAGCTGTCAAAACCGGACCGGACAGGCCGGTCCGACCGGTTGANTTTTTCCATATTTTTGTACTATTATTTTATTGTTTAATCTATATATGGTGGGACCAACCTTTTAAAAAATATAAGTCAACTATATTTAATATTTATAAAGTATTATATATTTAAAATATCAATAAATTAAATAACTTAAAAGTTAAGTTAACTATATCTATGAAAATTAATATATTTAAAAATATCAATAAATTAAATAACGGTCCAACCGGTTCAACCACTGGTCAGACCAGTGAACCATTGAACCAGTAGCTTGACCGGTTCGATGACCGGTCCGGTTTTGACAACCTTGTTAAATACACATCAGCAGGTGCATTGACATTTTTGAGTGCCACATCAGACGAGTTGGGGCAGCAGATGAAAACCGTGAATCGTTTTGCAAAGAATTGAAGGACGTGATATATTATGCAAAAGTTAAAAGGTTGTGATTAATTTGCAATCTCGATAAAGGTCATGATATTAGCCGCAATTTTGTCAAAAATAGAAGGTGTGATTTCTAAAGCACTTCGTAGAGATTTTTTAATTTCAAATTGAACCAAATCTTTAATTTAGGGAGTTTATATCTAAAAGCATGTGTGTATATCTAAAAAAATGTGTGCATTGATGTTTTTGAATTTTCAAATGCATACAATATGACATACACCAAATTTTCAAGTCGATATTTTGAAATTTTTAAGTTTAACAAAATCCTTAATTTAAGGAATAATTGAAAAATCCGTCCAAAATGGTTGGAAAAAACCGTCCAAAATTTTCTAAAAATATTTATATCTAAAAAACGTGTGCATTGGTGTTTTTAAATTTTGAAATCTATATAATATGATATACACCGAATTTCGAAGTCCATATTTTAACATAAATTATTGACTTAATTATTTCACTTCGTGAATTCTTAAAATAATTTCCCTAACTTAATTAACTTCTCTAATTATTTTCTCTTAATTTCCAAGTTTGACTAAAGTCTAAAAAAAAAAAAAAAAATATCTCAAAGCTCGATTTAGGCTTGGAAACTAATTTTTATATAACTATAAGGCCCGGCTAAGGCTCGACTACAAAATAATTAAGGCTCAGTTAAAAATTATGCCGTCTGGCACGACTGGACTGCTGCGGCCGCACCTGGGCCGACTGCTGGCTCGCTGGGTCTGAGCTAGGGTGGCTGGGCGCCACTGGGCTGTCCTGCGGTCACGGCTAGCAGGCTGGGGCAGCGGAAAAGGCATTGGGTCGAGGCTGGGAGATGGGCCGCTGCTGGGCAGGACGCGCGGGCTACACCAGGCCGACACGCGGGCTGGATATGGGTAGACGCGGGCTTCAGTTGTGAGGAACGCGGGCTGACTCGGGCCGGAAGTGCTGCAAAAATGGCTGCAGAAATTGGGCCTCACGCAACTGGGCTTGTGCCTTGAGTTGTCGTTTTGTTTTCCGAGTCAAACCCCATTTTTTAGGAAAATTTTCGAGCCCCTGAAAAATTATATTTTTCGTAAAGTATGTCGAGTTTTAAATCCCAGTTGTCGAGGAATCGAACGACGTTGAAACGGCCGCTGACGTCGCTGATCCCAGCCCAGTCGCACATCAACCGAGTTCAGGCCAGCAGGCGTGTGTTCGTCCTCAGTCGCGGCCCAGCGTGGAAGCAACTCATTTTATGGTGCAACTCACAAGTGATATTCTAATATGGTGTAAATATTGATGCCACTAAATCGAATAAGAGAAAAAAAGAAAAGAGAAAAGAATCAAACAACAAAAATAGGTTCGAATTGTTGTATATCTATAAGCCTTCGCCCTCATAGCTACATCTCACTTATTTCTTAGTCTGAACACAATTCTTGGGTTCACCAAGAAATGTGTATTGTACTTGGATATCCTAATAGCTAAAAATATACATTCCTAGGTACAAACTTGAACCATTGTACTTGTGGATTGTCTGGACAAGTTGGAAGATCATCAAGATTGTTGTCAACACAAAGGCACTCCTTAGTCACTAGGGCGGAGTTATATATAACTAATTTTCTCCAAACACAATATTTTCCGTGTTTGACTTGGGTAGCTAAAGGAAGACCAATGCTTGATACAACCTTCCACATGGTCGAGCAATCATACGAAACACGAGCGGTCTCGCCATCTCCTGCCATCTTGAGGCACCATAGTGTTCCAGCCAACATGATCGGGCCACCGTGTTGGTGTTGAGCCCACTGGCTCGCACTTTTGCAGTTGGCTAGAAAGGCCCTATTATTGCCCTCGTTAATTTGCACACATTGCCCACTTTGAGGATGAAACATTATGTAGTAGGTCGGATACCACCACGATGTCACCTCTGTATGACAACAAAATAAAATTGAGATATTTATTAGGATTTTTGAATGATTAATCCTGAAAAAATTGCAATCAATAACCCCACTTTTCTAGACCTTGCAAATCGTGTATTTATTATTTGGCAAATTCCATATATTACTTTTTTATTTTTGGCAAAAATTTATGCTCTTAACACGTCATCAGCAAGGCTACGATTAAACAGGCCTAACGGTTAAGTAACAATACGTTTTTTTTAATCAGACATGAATAATTTCAAATTGAAATGTCAAACTCTTTTTTAAGTAGATATTTTTGTTACAAATATATGATGAGTTCATATGTTTAAACGAGTTGATTCGTCTAACAATTAGACTGTCTTATGTATATGACGGTTTGCAAGTGTTGAATTTAATGCTCGACTCAAATTTGAGTTTGAGTGTGTTTGAGTGAACATTGATTCGAGCATCTCAAATTTAAACTTGAGCACGATCTTAAATCTTGCAAGTTGGAGTTTGTGATAATTCGTTGGAAACTATATAACATTATATAAATTTTTCTAACTTTTTATTGAAAATTTGATGTCAACTCGAACGAAATTNTAAAAAAAAAAAAATAAATAAATAAAAATATTTTTTAATAGTTTAAGAAGAATACATACTATTCAAGAGATTTAGATAAACTGGAATTACTCTTCAATTAGTGACTAAACTTTTCAGAAATCTTTTCACATCAATTACGATAAATCCATCGATTAGATTTCATGGCTAAAACTGCAAATACATTGTACTAAAAGTTACCTTGATTCTTCTGTCTTATGACTTGCAATCTGTCCAAGAAATCAGGATTTCTAGGACCATCCCAGATGTAGTTCTCAACTCCATAAAATTCTTCTGGATTAACTTTCCCTTGTCTATATATGTAGCTGCCTTGAAATGTCCATAATGCCCAATCAATGTCTTTCTCTGCCACCTCTGCCAGCAAGCAGGTTATATACCTGTTTTGACCCTCATTTTGACCCCTTTGGTCCAAACCAAATTCACTTAGAAAAACAGGGTAAGGGTTGCTTCCTGTTGTTAGGAAAAGGAAATTGTCCCTTGATGATTGAGTCACCTTGGCACAAAATTTGTTAGTTTGAGCTGTCCACAACTTAGTGGGGAAAGAAAATGTATACCAATGGGCCTCAAATACAATTTTATTAATAAAATCTAGCTGTAATGGTTTTTCCTTTAGAAACCTAAGGTTAGTGTCAGATGTTAGGCCTGAGATTATAACAAGAAATTGAGGGCTGTTTTGGTTGATGGTCATAGCTCCTTGTTGCATGTATTTGTACCACTTTTCCACCTTTTCATGTTTACCTCTTAGCTCATTTCTCATGCTCATACCCACCACCTATATATTACATGAAAATTAGAAAGACTAACCCCATATGTATATTTGTAAGTCCTTGCCACCTCAGCCAGGCCCTGCAACCACTCTGTTGGGCTCAGATGCGCAAATGCGGAAGGTGTAAATTAAAACACCGGAGTAAAATGGTGAACAATAATCCCAATCCCAGCAACTTAAGAATGACAAAAGATAATCTCTTGCAATAAAACAGGAATAATTCTTTTCTGATGTGGAAGATCAGATTAAACTACGACCACAGAGCATACTAAGAATATCCCAAATAAATAAAATATGCAAGAAAGAAGACACCAAGATTTATCGTGGAAAAACCTCCAATTAGAGGAAAAAACCACGGGACAACCTCCGAACAATTTCACTATATTTTCAAGATAATTACAATATCTTTTCACACTCCCCTACACTAGAAATGTAAAATATAGTGACCCAGTGAAACTCCACTCCTATTCAAATATTACAAACAAGGAGTAATAGAGATGATACCCGACCCGGTGTATTTTTCCCACACTCACAGGATTTACTCAAACACTCTATTTTTCTCTCACTGAAAAATAACACTCACAGAAATATTATTTCTGCTCTCTCTTGTTCTCTCTTTTTTCTTTTCTGTTTTGGTGCGTTTTTCTGCTCTCGGTATGGTGCTATTTATAGGGAAAACTTTGTTGTACAAATTTAATGAGAAAGTTGTGTCCACTGACGGATAAATATGCATTTAATTCTTAATGCCCAAAGGTCAAAAAATGGCAGCCCATAGCAGCCACATATTTCGGCACATTTAATGATAAAGCTGCTGAGGACTTTGGCTGGATGCTGACAATTCTCCCCCTCCAGCCAAAGGGTAATACACTGCAATTCTTCACATGCATTCCATGCCGATTAACTCGGCATAATGTTGAAGCTTTCCCCCTGGTACAACTTTCGTCATCATGTCAGCAGGGTTTTCGTCAGTGTGAATCTTTTCCAACTTGAACTGTTGTTCTTCCACTGCTTGACGTAGCCAATGATATCTGACATCAATGTGCTTCGTGCGAGAGTGGTACATCGCATTCTTACTTAAATCCAATGCGCTCTGACTATCGCAATGGATATCGTACCTTTCCTGCTTCATTCCCAATTGTTGAAGAAACCTCTTCAACCAAAGCATTTCTTTTCCTACTTCTGTCAGTGCAATATACTCGGCTTCAGTAGTCGACAACGCAACAGATTTCTGCAATTTAGATTGCCAAGATACAGCTCCTCCTGCAAATGTAAACACAAGCCCTGTAGTAGATTTTCTACTATCTAGGTCACCTGCCATATCCGCATCTGTATAACCCTCAAGAACTGGGTTTCCTTTGCCGAAGTTCAAGCACTTATTTGCACTACTTTTTAGGAACCTCAAGATCCACTTCACAGCTTCCCAATGATCCTTCCCTGGATTGGAAAGATATCTGCTAACAACTCCAACCGCGTGAGCGATATCTGGTCTAGTACAAACCATGGCATACATCAAACTTCCGACTGCCGAGGAGTATGGAACACCCGCCATAGCTTCTTTTTCTTCTTGACTCATAGGACAACTTCGTTTGCTGAGTTTGAAGTGATTGGCCAACGGTGTATTGACCGGCTTAGCCGATTTCATGTTGAATCTCTCCAGAATCCGATTCACATACCGTTCTTGCGATAACCATAACCTCTTGGATTTTCGGTTTCGCATTATCTGCATGCCCAAAATTTGTTTCGCCGGGCCCAGATCCTTCATATCAAAGGACTTTGCTAAATCCTTCTTTAAATCACTAATCAGCTTCATATCCTGTCCCACTATCAACATATCATCTACATATAACAGAAGGATAATGAATTTATTACCTGGAAATTTCTTAACGAACACACAATGATCTGCGTCAGTCTTCGTATATCCATGGCTCGCCATGAACGAATCAAATTTCTTATACCACTGTCTTGGAGCTTGTTTCAGTCCATACAAGCTCTTCTTCAATCTGCAAACCATGTGCTCCTTTCCAGTCTTCTCAAATCCTTCTGGTTGCTCCATGTAGATTTCTTCATCTAGGTCTCCATGAAGAAATGCAGTCTTCACATCTAGTTGTTCAAGCTCCAAATCCAAGCTAGCCACCAATCCGAGTATTACTCGGATAGAGCTCATCTTTACAACCTGTGAGAAGATTTCATCGAAATCTATCCCTCGCTTTTGTCCAAATCCTTTCACGACTAAGCGAGCCTTGTATTTCAACAGCTTGTCACCATCTTTCTTAAGCTTGAACACCCATTTATTCTTCAAGGCTTTTCTGCCTTTCGGAAGCTTCACAAGTTCATAAGTATCATTTTTCACCAGTGAATCCATTTCTTCTTGCATAGCTTTCATCCACTGGGATTTATCCTTATGAGTCTGAACTTCTTCAAAGCTTTCTGGCTCCCCTTCTTCAGTGATGGTAATATACGTAGAACTAGGGTACCTCGTAGATGGTTGGATCGCTCGATTTGATCTCCTGAGTTGAGGCGGAGCTTCGACGTCTTCTTGCTCGACACCTTCACCATCACTATCTTCAATTGCTGGTTCATCATCAACCCTGAGTTCTCCATCACACTCTCCCCCTACTGTGGCATCTCTAGGAGGTTCTACAGGTGAAAGATCCACCTTACCACCTGGTTCTTTAGTTTCTGGTAAAGCAGAATCAGACATAGTTTCTTGCTCATGGAACACTACATCTCTGCTTCTGATAATTTTCTGCTTTTCAGGATCCCATAACCTGTAGCCAAATTCCTCATCTCCATAGCCCAGAAATATACAAGGAATGGCTTTATCGTCAAGTTTTCGTCTCTGTTCCTTGCTTACGTGAGCAAAAGCTTTGCATCCAAACACCTTCAAATGAGAGTATTTAACATCATGTCCGGACCATACTCTCTCAGGGATATCAAAGCCCAAAGGAACAGATGGAGATCGGTTGATCAGGTAGCACGCCGTTAGAACAGCTTCACCCCAGAATGGCTTAGGTAACTTAGTCATTCTTAACATACACCTCACTTTCTCCATAATGGTTCTATTGATTCTTTCAGCCACACCATTATGTTGTGGGGTTCCAGGTACAGTCTTCTCATGCCTGATTCCATGATCAGCACAATAATTCTTGAATTCATGGGAAGTATATTCCCCTCCATTATCTGAGCGAAGACACTTCAAAGGTTTACCAGTTTGTCTCTCCACCATAGCGTGAAACCTTTTGAAGTACTGAAAAACTTCGTCCTTCGTTCTCAAGAAATACACCCACAATTTTCATGAAGCATCATCAATAAACGTCACGAAATATTTGCTACCACCGAGACTCTCCTCTTCCATGGGTCCACATACATCAGAATACACCATCTCCAATACATTCTCTTTCAGCTTCGAGGTTTTGCTGAAAGACACTCTATGATGCTTCCCAAAGAGACAATAATCACAAGGATTTAGTTTTGAATCTTTGGCAAACGGGATGAGGGACTTTCTTGCCAAAATTTGCAATCCTTTTTCACCAATATGAGCCAGTCTTTTGTGCCACAAATTTGGCGAAGCATCATCTTCGACTGCATTCAGGCCACCCTTGATCAGCTTCACTTGAGTTCTGTACAGTGTCGATCTCACTGTACCTTTAGCAGCTAACAATGATCCTTTGGTAAGCCTCCATGTGCCGCTACCAAAATTGTTAGTGTAGCCTGCTAGATCCAATGCATGCACAGAGATCAGATTCAGACGTAAGTCAGGTACATGTCGCACGTCCTTCAGTGTTATTGTGCACCCAATATCAGTTTGAATGCACACATCACCAACTCCCACAATATTTGCAATGCTGTCGTTGCCCATCTTTACTCTACCAAAGTCTCCTTCTTTGTATAGAGAAAAGAATTCCTTGTGAGAGGTGGCATGGTAAGATGCGGCCGAGTCAATGACCCATTCAACACATGAATCTGCAACATGACACTCTTCTTCTTCAACAGAGAGCAACACCACTTCCCCATTGATCACAGGGGTTGCGGTATTTTCATCGTTCTCTGATTTGTTATTCCTCCGATCTCTGTTCTTCCAGGCTTTGCAGTTTCTTTTGATATGCCCCTCTTCACCGCAGTGATAACATTTGAATTTTCTTCTGGGTTGAGATTGTGATTTATCTCTGGATTTGTTATTCCGGCCTCTGCGTTTACTTCTCCCCCTGGTTTCTGTGACCAGGGCTTGGGAGCTACTTGCTCCTGAATCTTTTCTTCTTGTTTCTTCATTAAACATACTGTCTTTGACTTGGGTCAAAGTCAGTTTTCCTTCAGGAGCAGAGTTGCTCAACGAGACCACCAGAGTCTCCCAGCTATCCGGTAAAGAACTCAAAAGTAACAGCGCCTGCAGTTCTTCATCAAGTTTCATCTCCATGGTAACAAGCTGGTTTACCATGTCTTGAAACTCATTCAAGTGTTCTGCAACTGATCTTCCATCCCGATATTTTAAATTCACAAGCTTTCTAATAATAAAAGCTTTATTTTGTGCAGTCTTCCTTTGATACATCTGCTCAATTTTGTTCCACAGAGTATGGGCTTTTGACTCTGTGGCAATATGGTGGAATATGCTGATATCCACCCACTGTCTGATTAAACTGACAGCCTTCCTGTGTAACTTTTTCCAATCGTCATCCTTCACGTCATCTGGCTTGTTATCTCCCTTTTCTACAGGATCATACAGATCTTTGTAGAAAAGTATGTCCTCCATTTTTTGCTTCCAAATGGAGTAATTTGTTGCTGTCAGCTTCACCATGGTACCAACGTTCTCCTCCATTTAATTTACACTGGTTGATACAGAGCCCAACTTAATCTCTGATACCACTTGTTGGGCTCAGATGCGCAAATGCGGAAGGTGTAAATTAAAACACCGGAGTAAAATGGTGAACAATAATCCCAATCCCAGCAACTTAAGAATGACAAAAGAAAATCTATTGCAATAAAACAGGAATAATTCTTTTCTGATGTGGAAGATCAGATTAAACTGCGACCACAGAGCATACTAAGAATATCCCAAATAAATAAAATATGCAAGAAAGAAGACACCAAGATTTATCGTGGAAAAACCTCCAATTAGAGGAAAAAACCACGGGACAACCTCCGAGCAATTTCACTATATTTTCAAGATAATTACAATATCTTTTCACACTCCCCTACACTAGAAATGTAAAATATAGTGACCCAGTGAAACTCCGCTCCTATTCAAATATTACAAACAAGGAGTAATAGAGATGATACCCGACCCGGTGTATTTTTCCCACACTCACAGGATTTACTCAAACACTCTATTTTTCTCTCACTGAAAAATAACACTCACAGAAATATTATTTCTGCTCTCTCTTGTTCTCTCTTTTTTCTTTTCTGTTTTGGTGCGTTTTTCTGCTCTCGGTATGGTGCTATTTATAGGGAAAACTTTGTTGTACAAATTTAATGAGAAAGTTGTGTCCACTGACGGATAAATATGCATTTAATTCTTAATGCCCAAAGGTCAAAAAATGGTAGCCCATAGCAGCCACATATTTCGGCACATTTAATGATAAAGCTGCTGAGGACTTTGGCTGGATGCTGACACACTCTACCGGGTCGAAATACGGATCTCCAAAAAACCCGTTTTTGTCGTCTGAACTGCAACCATCCGGGCCGGCTTATATGATTGTCGAGTACAACCATTAGGTTGTACTGTCCAAGCACTATCGCCACAACCTTATGAAGGATTTGAATTTTCAGCTCCAAACTCCAAGGATTGTTTTTCCAAATGCCGGCTTTTGCATCACTAAGGTTGTACTCATCCAAGGATTGGGAGACCGTGAGGTCGTAATAATCGGGACGTGTGAACATGAACGTGGGCCACGTGAACCGCACGCACGTGAACCCGACTGCGGCTATTTGCCCGGCTATCTCGTATAAGGGCTTCTTTTCGAGCCCTTCGGCTATCATCGGCTCGAGGTGCGAAATCCAGTTGACGCACGCGAGTTTTACTCGTTCTCCGGTGAACTGGTCAACGATCCACCTAGAGCTGGTTGATAGAATTCTGGCATTAATTCTAATTTGGAGAATAATGGATAGAAAAAAAATGGCTTGTGCTATAATATTGCCTCTCATTTCTTTTGTTTTGTGTACGAGATTTTGGTTTCATTTTACCAAACTCCTATTTTTGTAGTCCGAGAGCATCTTATGTTATAGATGGACCATATGGCCTAGAAGTTGTAACTTGTAGCTTATGTTTACACACTTCAAATTTTTCATTTTCTTGGTATGTCCCATTTGAAGGTATATTTAAAATCTTAGATTTGTCCCGAGTCGTTATCTACTTTATTAATTTTAGGATTTAGTTATCATGATTCTGAAATTGGAAACTAGACCATGATTCAAAAAGGATTTTGTCATCCTTTACGATTGTTGTTTAGTACTTTTATGATTAAACTAGTTGATATCTTGTAATGACTTTTTTGTTTTAATTTTTTTAAATTACCTAGTTTTCTGATAGTTTGACATCTGCATGAACCAGATTCTTTATTAGGAATTATGGGATAACAAAATTATCTTTCGATAATGCACATTTGTTTTTTCTCAAACGACAATTTAAATTCATAGAACTCATAAAAAGTAGAGTGTGTTATAAATAAGTGGAATTAAATAGTGAAATGATTGGCATATGCGGTGATGGTATGAGTTGTAAACAAATAGGCATGAGTTTTAAACAAGATGGACATGAGTTGTAAACAAGTGGAACCCAATTATTGTACATATATCTTGAGATGTATGAGTAGATCATAATTTATATTTGGTTCCTATGTTGAGTTTTTTATCTTCCCCGCATTTATAACACGTTATCAGTATGATTCTCTACCCTCTAGAGCTCGATTTGTGATATGACGAGAGTATGCTCTACATTTGCGTCTTATATACGATATTCTGTATCAGAAATCGAATTATTATAAATCATTATTTTTTGCCACAAGAAAAAAAATAATGGTGCACACAAAAGTATGGTGACGGTGCCTATCACTAATGACGACAAGGACGAACTTCAGAGCAAAGGAGAGGTGCAACCTGTTGGGATCTGTGAGGATCTCGTTATGTACAAGTTACGAATTCAATAGCAAACGTAAACCTATGCTCAGCGAATCTAAAGGTTTGACGTAGAAAACTTACGGCTTAAAATTGAATCTGTCGGATTTAGGATGACCGGGAACAACACATGAACAGAACTGGATCACACGAACGGGAAGGCGGGTTCGGCTCGTGTTGAATCGAACGTGTCGTGTGCGCGTGAATTGCCGGGTCGTATCGATCGGCTCGTCGCGGCTTGCCGGCGGTCGTGTCGCGATCAGCGGCGGTATTGTGAAAATTGAAGTTCCCCAAATAAGTGATGAAAGGAAGCATATATATACTATTGATGAAATGAATTAATAATGAGATATCTCACTATATTACGAGGAGTAATGAAATGAATAAGTGTCGGCACAAACAAAAGAATAGCGCTAAGATCATTGAAATCAAATGAAAATGTGAATATTGAAAATTATTAGCAGTAAGATCATTGAAATCCGTTGATGAGGAGAATGAGTTTAATATTAAAAGTTACACAAAGCATGATATGACATATTATCATGAATACCATCAGTATATGAAAATATGAATGAATCTATATGATGTTCATGCAAAATATGAAAAGATTATTGTAATATCCCATTCAGTAATTAATAAAAGTAATTATTTTAGATCTAAGTTTGAACTAATTACATTTATTAATAATGCTCGTTCCTAGTTTCGAGCCCAGTTATTAAGTTATTCAGTTAAAAGTTCGACTTTAAGTTGAAAGTATTCTCGGTTAAATTTTATTTAGTAATCGAGCCAGTTCAGTAATTAATTAATTCCGGTCTGTTTATTTTTATAAATGGATTTATAAGATGGGATTAATTATAATAAGATGACGAATAATAAAAATCGAGTATATTTTGATTACTCGTTCAAGATAAGTCGTGAACCGAACCAAGCATGTTCGGTTACGAGTTAAGATTATTACCGAGCAAATGATTCTCGAGCCTAGCTTAGTTTTGAGTATTGATCAAGTTATAAGGATTAAATTAGACATTAATGTTTATTGAATTGAAATAAGTTATTTAAGATGAAGTTCAAGTTCAAGTAACATTCCATTTTATTTAGCTAAATGGATGTAAATTTGGCCATTTCTAGTTTGAATGAGAAAGAAAAAGAATAATGAGTCGAGACAAGTTAAGTCTTGAGTTCGGTTAAGTATCCATGAACACTTAAGTTATAAATGTTCAAAGAAGTGAGAAAATTTATTTAGACATTTTAGTCTATTTAAATTATTAGAGAGAAATATGAAATTTTTAGAATTTTTATTTTTTTTCGGTTTTCGATTGTAGTCGGAATATATGTCCGATTTCAGTTCCGAGAAATAAATTAGATTATTTTCTCTCTATATTTTTAGTAGACTACAAGATAAGAAAAATTTTTCAGCATAAAAAAGGAAAAATGCCAAAAGAAAAGAAGGAAATTCGAAAATTGTAAGAATTTTCGATTTTACGGTAACTGTTCGTTTTAAGTCAGAATTTGGTTCCGTAAATTGGAGAATTTTCACTAAATCTCGAATTTAATCATTGAGATCAGACTAGGATCAGAAGAGGGGCCTTTCTATGCATTGACTATAGGTTGGAGAAGTTTACAAGTTAAGAATACTATTTATTATCTATATTTATTTTTACAAGTTTGTATTGTTTATTTTGTTATTTTCTTCACTCAATTATGATGTCTTGCAAATTGTGCCTATAAATAGAGGACTAAAAATTAGAGTTTATGCACTAAAGTTAAGTACCAAAAGTTATATAAGAGTGTAAGAGAGATAAGTAGTAGAAACTTTGGAGAAGTGAAGAATTTGAAGTAAAGAATCAAGTTTTTATTCTAGCAAGAAGGAGGTAATTTACTTATCTTAAAGTTACATGCTTAAGTTCATGTTTTGATAATAAGTTTACATGTTTATAAGTATGTATATCATGATATAGAAGTTAAGTTTATAATTGATTCTGTGAATATAAAGAGTTAAAGTTGTTCAAGATCAATTATATGATATATGTACTTGATTTGATGAGATGTGGATAAAGATATGAATAAGCTGGAAGAGTATGATTTAAATGAATGATTATTATGTAAAAGAGGAGTACATGAAAACAAGAATTAAGAGATTTGGCAAAATATAGCTTGAGTTATGAATTTTTAAAGATGAACATGTAAGATGAAGTTTATGTTCACTATTGAATTTAAATTCTCATAACTTGATGAATATGCATGAATAAAATTATGAAATTTTGAGGACATGTCTAATTACAAGTTGAGATTATGACTGTTAAGTTTCATAATTTAAAGATGAGAAATGAATAAGTTATGAATATAAGAAGGCATATATGTAAAGATAAGTATATATGCAAGAATATTCATGAAATGTTCAAGTTATTAAAATGAGATGATCATGAATAATTCTCATATAAGTGATGAGTAATTTGATGATGTTTTGGTGTAATATGTTGAGTATACAATTTTATAAAGATTGTATTATGTATTTTATATTAACATCATGATTAAATGTTATGAGTAAAAGATGATATGGCTTGAGATTATTTTCACTTTCAAGTTAATTAAGTAAAAATTTAGTATAAGCCAATTTGGAGATATGATGAATGATGAATTAAGTATTTGCTTGAGTAAAAGATCAAATTAAGTTAAGATAAGTTTATAAATCATGTTGATGATGTTGGTAAAAGTAAGCATATTTTAAGTTTAAATCAAGTATAATGTGAAAAATAGTTACTTTCACATTTGAGTTATGACATGCTAAGTATAATACCATATTAATGTTTATGAAGACATGATTTATACAAGGTTAAGTAATTGACCTTAAGTATAAATAAAAAGAGAAGTTAAGTATAAACTTGAGAAAAAGCAAGTTTAATGAATTTCTATAAGATTTGGATAAGTTAAAAATCCTAAAAATCTTATTGAGTATATGAGCATAGTACTTAGTATATTTGTCTATATTTGATGTAACTTGCAGATACAGTACCAGTACAGCACTTATCGTTTTTCAAATGATTTCAAAGACAAAAAGGTGGGGACCCTGAATGGGTATCACGTTGAGTACGATATTGATGTCATATGGGATGAGGAGACCATCAGTTGTCTCAGAGTATATCCTAAAGTTTAAGTTTATTACGCTTGGGATGAGGAGGCATTAATTTGTTCTCAGAGATTATATCCTAAGTTCTGATGGAGGCCGTTAGGTGCCTTAGAAATATCCATCAGAGTGTGCACACGTATCCGATTAACTATCAACAAGATAAGAGAAAAGTTTAAGTTACCGATCAGATATCGGTTTATGATTATCCATATTCGTTACTCACCCCCATGAGTTTTAGTTTCAGGTAACAGGTCGAAGAGGAGGTGTGAGTGGAGCAGTGTTGGTGTGGATAGTGGACTCAGATGAAGACAAGCTTTGATACGGACATTTATAACAGTCTGTATAATTAACCACGTTTTCAAGTATTTCCGCTATGCACATTAAGTATTGAACTTGCATTTTAATGAATTTCATATTTCAAGGTTTTACCATTATGAGAAATATGATTATGGTATTTTAAATGCAAGTTTAAAGGAAATCTGTTTTAATTATGTATAAAGAAGTATTAGACAAAAGTTTAAAGATAAACAGATTTTCAAGATGATGAGTTTGAGTAGCATCCCGAGTTAGTCGCAAAAGATTTCGAAAGAATTAAGTATATTCAAAGTAAAAGTTGCGAAACATTTACTCTGATAAGCGGGGTGTTACAATTATTATGGTGAATATATGGAATACACATTGTACTCTTTTTCCCTTGGCTGAGGTTTTGTCCCATTGAGTTTTCTCAGCAAGGTTTTTAATGAGGCAACAGGATGGCGTATTCACATGAATAGTGTACTCTTTTCTTTCATTAAGATTTTGTCCCATTGGGTTTTTTTCCTAATAAGGTTTTAACGAGGCATATTCATTGTATAATGAGGACTATTGAATAATTGATATAATTCTTCATGATGATAAGAAGACACTGGAGTAACTGTACTCTTTTTCCTTCAATCAAGTTTTTTTCCAACTGGGTTTCTATTGATAAACGAAATTGTATCAACGTAAAAATACACCCTTATTTCTGTGAATAATCGATGTTAGATCGGTATGTGTTTTCATTGATTTTTTGGAGAGAAATGTTCTTCTCTTTTTCTTGATTTTTGGTTGAAGGAAGACAATGAATAGTCCCCTTCCTTTTTCTCTCTCCTCACCATGTATATATACAAGGCTATTTTTACAAGTGGGCCTATCAAAAAATAAATAAAAAGGGGACATCAACGTTTAATGTGAGATGACATCGTGGGGCCCGATCGTGACACTTGACGGCTTTGATTGACGTCTACTTTCTCGGAAATTATTGTGTATGTCGGAGAAAGATCTTCTTGATATCCGGGTCGGGCTGACGATATTAATTCTGCTCGGCTCGAACGTGGATGACCTGGGCACATGGAGACCCGGTCGATATTAAATAACCAGCTCAGAGAAACTGCTATATTTATATTTATTTAATACATATCCGCGTATAGTATTTTTATTGATCGAGGCCAAATTGGGTATCAACAGTTTCCTTGACAAGTTTTAATGAGGCAACATGTAGATACTGCACTAAAGATGATCTATTTGAGGGGGAGCAATGTTGTGCTTCCACAATGCTCAGGTTTCGTCCCACCGGGTTTTCTAGAGGGAGCAATTTGTGATTCCACAATGATCAGGTTTTGTCCCACCGGGTATTCCTGACATGCTGAAGCAGTGGTATCTGATGGCGACAAGATACACTTCAAGATGTTCAGATTGGGCTTCGTTCAAATCAGTTAATATATGTTTAGAAAATAGTCATTCAAGGGGAGCATGTGCGGCTGTACTCTTTTTTCTTTATCTCATTTTTTCCCACAAGGTTTTTTCGGATAAGGTTTTTAATGAGGCAGTATGAATGCACATTTTATAGTGGTAATTCCAAGGGTGAAGGTTGTAAATAAGTGAAATTAAACCACTACAAAATAGTGAAAAGATTGGCATATGGGGTGATGGGTACGAGTTGTAAACAAATAGGCATTAGTTGTAAACAAGATGGGCATAAATTGTAAACAAGTGGAACCAAATTATTGTACATATATCTTGAGATGTACGAGTAGAGGTTGCCTATAAAAGGCAACCCAAATGATGTGGAGAAACACGCTTATGAAAGAAGAAAAAATAGATCATAATATATATCCAGTTCCTATATTGATAGATATACATTCCTTTTCTATCAATTAAACACTAGAACAGTATATCTATCAATTAATGTCATTTTTATAGGAGTATCAATCCCTTCTTGAAACTCAGCCTTAAGCAAGATTTTAATTACTCTTAAATGGAATGTTGAAATTTTATTTCTTCTATCTTCTATAAATTTTTTCGTATTTATGCTTTAGTGACTAAAGGTAGATATACTGTTCTTCTAACATCTCTTATGTCTACATGCAATTCTCTTATGGCTATAGATGTGGTGGATTTATGCTCTTAGAAGATGGAGATGGAAGGTTGGGCTAGGGTTTAGTGGTGTAGATGGAATGAAGGGGATGATGTATTTATAGGTTTAAGGAGAAGATTAGGGTTTTATGTTGTTGGGCTCAAAGCTTGGGCTTTAAAATTACTAACACTTGGACTTTAAAATCGAACTATGTAATCGGGCTTAGAATCAAACCTTGACTTAGGCTAAATATTAAATGTTCGGGCAAATTAAAAATTGATCGGAACTTAGACTAAATTAATTAGTCGGTCAAATTTAATAAAATAATTGGGCTCAGATTAAAAAATCGAATATAGTTCGATTTTCAAAATGGACCGAATTTAAATCGAACATGGGCTCGATCTAATACAATGGACCGGAATAAAATGGACCGCTTAAATGGGCTCGGAAATTGGGCTCGTTCGAAAATTAAATAAATTATAAATCGAGACATAGACTTAATATTTTATTTCATTTTCGAAATAAAATTCAAACGTTTTCTCCATGGCTTAGACTTAGGAATTATTAATCAAAATTAATGCACGCAATAATAAAATCAAAGAACCATTTGAACAATTAACCCGAAAATAGATAAAATTTCTATTCCCAAAACTATTGTCGAGCTCCTAAAATAGGGAAAATTCGGGGCTTACACTCTTGAAGAGACTGAAGTGGAATTTTCTAAGTTGGAACAATTGTCTCGGCCTGAGCCAAAGAAGGAGAGGGCTAATTCTTTAAGGCGGGACAGACCAGACAAGTCCGATAGAGGTCGAGAGTACCGGTGGCAGGATAGGCCCTTAAAGAATGGGCAGATGTTTTCAAAGTATATACCACTGAAAGGTCATCCGGGGGAGGTGCTCGAGGCGATTGAGCGCAGGATCGATGGTCGAGCGGTCACTTGGCCGAAATCACGAAGAGAGGGGTCAACACAACCCAAGTCATGTTGATACTGCATGTTCCACAAAGATTATGTGCACCACGGAGAACTGCAGGCAATTGAAGTATGAGATCGAGCCCCTGATTCGAGCAGGACACTTAAACGAGTCGATTTGAGTTTTATTTACTAAATGATACGATCCAAATTGCTTGTTTATTAAAATAAAATCGTTATATGACATGACATTAAGTTTTGGAGATTTACATATCATTTCATCATTAAATTTTGGAGATTTACATATCATTTCATCGAATATGTTATACAAATAATTGAGATTAGGTTGAAGATTTCATATATTCAGACATCTGTTATTTGAAAATAATAAGTAACTGATTAGCTCGAAGAGGTTATCTTTTGAAATAGGACATAATAATTTATCAGCTCCAATACATCTTAAAAGATATCACAACTTTTAATAGGATCGTTTTAATAAATTTAGAGAAACATCCTCTCAGAGTTTGAGATTTTGAACAACACTATATAATGTACAAAGCCATTTATATATTATTTTTTGGCATAAGTATTTGAAAGAGTATTATTATGTCATGGGGTGCAAATTGGGAAAATTTCAAAATTAGTCCCACAGATATAGGGGGGTGACAATTTTGGTCCCGACGGAATGCACAAAATATGAACAGTCCCACAGCTTTTAAAAAATGATCAAAAGTAGGACTTTTTTCGCCGGATTTACTATTTTCGGCCCGGAGCGCCACGTGGCGTACACGTGGCGCACACGTGGCGCACACGTGGCTTATTTTTTACACGCTGGCATCCGACGTAGATAGGAAAAAATTCAAAACTAGTCCCACAAGTATAGAGGGGTGACATTTTTGGTCCCGATGGAATGCAGAAAATTCAAAACTAGTCCCACAACTTGTAAAAAAATATGAACACGTCGGATGCCACGTGGCGTTCCGGGCCGGAAATAGTAAATCCGGCGAAAAAGTTCTACTTTTGATCATTTTTTAAAAGCTGTGGGACTATTTATATTTTCTGCATTCCGTCGGGACCAAAATTGTCACCCCCCTATACATGTGGGACTAATTTTGAAATTTTCCCGGTGCAAATTCGATGCCATTAAACCAAATAAGAGAAAAAAGAAAAGAGAAAAGCATCCAACAAAACAAAAATATACTCCCATTATTGTATATCTATAAGCCCTTCTAAACATAATTTTTAGGTTCACCAAGACATGTGTATTGTACTTGGATATATATCCCAAAATATTTAACAATCAAGAGAACTACTTTTATCTTTTATTATGCAGGACATATAACATTACGTACATTCCTAGGTACAAACTTGAACCATTGTACTTGTGGATTGTCTGGACAAGTTGGAAGATCATTAAGATTGTTGTCAACACAAAGACACTCCTTAGTCACTATGGCGGAGTTCGAAATATTTTTCTCCAAACACATATATTTTCCATGTTTGACTCGAGTAGCTAAATGAAGACCAATGCTCGATACAACCTTCCACTTGCTTGAGCAATTGTACGAAACACGAACGGTCTCACCATCTCTTGCCATCTTGAGGCACCATGATGTTCGAGCCAACTTGATCGGGCCACCGTCTTGGTGGTGAGCCCACTGGCTCGCATTCTTGCAGTTGGCTAGAAAGGCGCTATTATTGCCCTCGTCAATTTGCACACATTGCCCACTTTGTGGATGGAACATTATGTAGTAGGTTGGACACCAAGATCTCACATCTAAATGACACAACAAAAAAACGGAGATATTTATTAGGATTTGTGAGTGATTAATCCTGAAAAAATTGCAATCAATAATTCCACTTTTTTAGAACATGCAAATCGTGTATTCTTATTTGGTAAATCCCATATATTACATTTTTTTACTTTACATAAAAAAATATGCTCTTAACACGTCTTCAGTAAGGCTACGATTAAATAGGTCTAACGGTTAGATAACTATACTTTTTTAATAGATATAGATACTTTAAACTGAAATGTCATATTTTAGAAAACATTATAAACAAAAGCATGATATTTCATAACATAAGTAGATATTTCTGTTACAAATACACGACGAGTTGACCCCCTCGTCCAAAAAAAAATTTGTGCATTATAATTTGACATGGCATGCTAGAAAAAATAGAGAAAATTATAAATGTATGTCCTAATAAATTATTTTAAATTCTTGTTATGTGACTCCATATTACACAAAAGTAAAATAAAATAAAATAAAAATACTTGGAACATCAGGGTCATGAAAAAGTAAATTTAAGTTTTAAAACTTAATTTATTCATAACATATTTCAGAAGGTTCCATGTGACCGCATACTACATTGAATCTTTTGCAACTACTACATTTTATTATTGCAAAAAATGCTTTCTCTAGTAGTTTAGGAAGAAAACATACTATCAAGAGATTTAGATCAACTGGAATTGCTCTTCAACTAGTGACTAGACTTTTCAGAAATCCTTTCACATCAATTACGATAAATCGATCTATTATATTTCATGACTAAATTTGCAAATATATTGTAATAAAAGTTACCTTGATTCTTCTGTCTTATGACTTGCAATCTGTCCAAGAAATCAGGATTTCTAGGACCATCCCAGTTGTAGTTCTCAACTCCATAAAATTCTTCTGGATTAACTTTCCCTTGTTTATATATGTAGCTGCCTTGAAATGTCCATAATGCCCAATCAATGTCTTTCTCTGCCACCTCAGCTAGCAAGCAGGTTATATACCTGTTTTGTCCCTCATTTTGACCCCTTTGGTCCAAACCAAATTCACTTAGAAAAAGAGGGTAAGGGTTACTTCCAGTTGTCAGGAAAAGGAAATTGTCCCTTGATGATTGAGTCACATTGGCACAAAATTTGTTAGTTTGGGCTGTCCACAACTCAGTGGGGAAAATAAATGTATACCAATGGGCCTCAAATACAGTTTTATTACTAAAATTTAGTTGTAATGATTTTTCCTTTAGAAAGCTAAGATTAGTGGCAAAAGTTAGGCCTGAGATTATAACAAGAAATTGAGGGGCTTTTTGGTGGATGGTCATAGCTCCTTGTTGCATGTATTTATACCAATCATCCTCATTTTCATGTATACCTCGTAGCTCATTTCTCATGCTCATACCCACCACCTGCAAAATAAAATTATCAAGATCACATCATGGTCTCACCCATATATTACATGAAAATAGAAAATCAACTTGANGAATTTATACATAGCCCTGTGTAATTTTTTATTTAGCACATCTAATTTCAAGCTGGATATCTCTAGATTTAGGTCGAATTTGTTCATCTGACAACAATGGTGAAAAAGAGATGATCGTAGTGAGAGGAAAGAAAATAATCTTTTATTGTTAAATAACAATTGTGCCCTTACGATTTTTATCAAGTGAATTTAATGTGGCCAACACACTCTTGCCTTTTAAATTCTTAATGGGCTGAATTGGCAAATACCAAATGAGCTGGATAATTAAATTTAACACGCACTTTTCCTGCGGGCTATTTAATTGGTCTCGTCTCATTGCACAGTCCGTTTTCCATTTTCGTTTGTTTTTTGTTGATTACAAGTCGAGATTGAGTTTTCACAAGTCGAACCGAAATATGTTAACATATAATTCGAATCTAGTCATGGCCAAAATTGGTTCCGAGTCAAAACCGCCGGTCCCGAGCCCAGGGTTAGAGGGCCCTGAACCGACCCGAACATATGCACGTGAAAATGTCTACTTGGTTTCAATAATACGCAGCCTCGGATTAAAAAATTTCTGCCTACGCCCCTGCTCTTCGAACGAAAAATCTAGCAGTTAGCTTCTTACAAAAAATAAATTTCAAAGAATCAAGACTGTATACTATGATCATCGATCACAATTCTAGATCTTTAACAATGAACATGTAAGTTTTGCATGTGAATATTTTTGTCAGCCAAATTTCTAACGATTCATAAATTATTCTTTCTAAAAGTAATTTTTTTTTTAATGAAAGTACCAAATATGATTGTTGGAAGTAATAAATTAGAAAGACTGACCCCATATGTATGTTTGTAAGTCCTTGCCACCGCAGCCAGGCCCTGCATCCACTCGTCCGGCTCAAAGTCCGGATCTCCAAAAAACCCGTTATTGTCGTTAATCCTGCAACACCATCCGGGTCGGCTTATATGATTGTCGAGTACAACCATTAGGTTGTACTGTCCAAGCACTCTCACCACAACCTTATGAAGGATTTGAATTTTTAGCCCCAAACTCCAAGGATTGTTTTTCCAAATGCCGGCTTTTGCATCGCTAAGGTTGTACTTATCCAAGGATTGGGAGACCGTGAGGTCGTAATAATCGGGCCGGGTGAACATGAACGTGGGCCACGTGAACCGCACGCACGTGAACCCGTCTGCGACTATTTGCCCGGCTATGTCATATAAGGGCTTCTTTTCGAGCCCTTCGACTATCATCGGCTCAAGGTGCGAAATCAAGTTGACGCACGCGAGTTTTACTCGTTCTCCGGTGAACTGGTCAACGATCCACCTAGAGGTGGTTGATAGAATTCTGGCATTAATGCTGATGTGGAGAAAAATGGATACCAAAAAAATGGCTCGTGTTAAAATAGTGCCTCTCATTCTTTCGTTTGTGTATGAGATTGTGGTTTGATTTTACCTAATTTTAATTTAACTCCTATTTTTGGAGTCCGATCGAGAGCATAGATGGACGATGTGGCCCAGAAGTTGTAGCTTGTTGCTTATATTTATACACCTAAAAGTTAAAATTCTTCATTTTATTGGCACGTCCCATTTGGAAGTATATAAAATGTTAAGATATTTGTCCCAAGTCGTTNTTGGGAGAGGTATCCCAAGTCGTTATCTACTTTGTTAATTTCAGGATATTGTTATCGTGATCAAATCGGAAACTAGACTAAGGGTGTTCATCAGTCGGTTCGGTCGACCGACCGAACTGAATTACAAAAACCGAACTAACCGAATTACAATATATCCAAAATCGAACCGACCGAAATATGTGCTTAAAACCGAAGTATAACCGAACCGAATTATTCGGTCGGTTCGGTCGGTTAACCGAACTTTTACAAAAAATATTTTTTAGGATTGTTTAGTATAATATAACTAGTACGGTGCCCGTGCGAACCACGGGAGCATTTATTATATATATATATTTTTTAAAAGATATTTTTGTATTTAAATTGTCTCATGCCATTAAAAATTTCATGAAAATAAAATTTATATGTTATTAAACACTTCCTTATGTACAACATGATTTGAATTCTTTGGCACGTAAAGTACTACATAGGTGTTCGAATTTATCCAAAATTACATATTATTATTTATTAGTTCACAAATTTTAAAAAAAAAAATTAAAGGAACAAAATTAAAGTAGAAAAAAAAGTAAATTTTTTTAGGGATTTTCACCCAGTATTTATTTTAAATCTAATTCTAAATTTCAATTAAGAAAAATTGAAAAGAATCATTAGTTAGTCCCGGATATGAAACCGATTTTCTTACCAATAAATCGATTTTTTTATCAAACAAATTGATCCGATTTTTTCTAAACCAAAATAAAAAAAAAATCATCAATTTCCTAAAAATGCAACCAAATTTTCCTAACATTGCACCAATTTTTGTACCAAACAAAATGAATTGAAAATAAATTGTTAATGTTTATGCAACTGTCTCTTTCCTACAGAAAATGATATGAACTTAACCAAAAAATAAAATGATATGAACTTACCAAAATCTCGGTAAAACATGGTTACGAAAAAACATAAGAATCCAAAAAAATCGATGCGTTTAAATTTTGAAAAGTTGCACATAATTTTTCCTAAATAATTGGATAAGGTGACTTTAAATATCAAAGATGAACCGCTTTTGTTACCAAAAAATGTGGACACGTTTTGAATGTACATCCCGTCCAAATATCAATTTTATTTTAAAATAAAAATTGCATGTGGCTTTATCCAATTTACACAATTTTTTGAAAGAAAAAATTATTCAATAAGATTGGAAGAATTGATTAAGAATTATACAACTATTTGCTTCCTAATTTTGTATCAAATTTCCACGGTTTTTAAATTAATTTATATTTAGAATTATTTTCATAAATAATTCACACATTTTTTGCATAAGAATCTCCAAATTTATTTCCAAAAAAGATATGATTTAAATTTTGGTAAAAAATTAAATATGATACGAAAAATATGGGATTCAAATTTTGCCTAAGAATCTCCAAATTTGTTACAAAAAAAATAAGATTTAGATTTTATTACTAAAGATTCACGTGTGTTTTTTTGAACTTTCTATTAATAGTAAGTCAAACATTATATTTATTTGGTCAAATTTTCTATTGATGTATTTTTCCAACAACCTCTTTATATATATATAGATATAATATAATATATTTTATGATATAAAATATTATATTATAATATATTATATTATAATATATTATATAATATATTATAATAATTTATAATTAGTACATATATTATTATAATATATAGTATAATATAATATTTTATAATTTATACATACAATATTCGGTCGATTCGGTTATTTCGGACATTTGATGTCCGAAACCGAAACCAACCGAAATTTTATTCGACTAAAACCGAAAACCGACCGAGTCGGATAAAAACCGAACCGAACTTTTCGGTTCGGTCAGTTTCGGTCGGTTTATTCGGTTTTAGTCGAATTTTGCACACCCCTAAACTAGACCATGATTCAAAAAGGATTTTGTCATCCTTTACAGTTGTTGTTTAGTACTTTTATGATTAAACTAATTGATATCTTGGATTTTATTTTAATTAGTACAATGCCAGTACACCCAATTGAATTCTTAATTGAGTACATCTCATAGATGATTCGAAAAGGATTTTGTCATCCTTTGTTTAGTACTTTTATGATTAAACTAATTGATATCTTGTATTGCCTTTTTATTTTAATTAGAGCATCTCCAATGCAACTTTTGACATTATAAAAAGTCATTCATATCATCAACTTTTGAAAGTGTGTCTCTATTTTTTTCTCCAATGCATCTTGTCATACACTCTTTCATTATGAGGTGGATGTCATTTAATGTTGACAATGTTGAGCTCACTTTCTAATATCTAACACCATGTTAAACATGATGACTCATCAATTTACTTTATATTTGTTTTAATTTTTTATTTTTTTGTATCAATGAATTATTTAATTGGTCCACCTATACAAATAATTTTTTATCGAATTGATACATTGGAGATACTAGTTTCATTGAAATTTCTAGTCTTTTAACATTATTCCAATGTGGATTAACATTACAATCATTAATTGACATGTGTTAAAAATAATGGTCTTTTCACACTTATAGCATTGGAGATGCTCTTAGTACAATGCCCGTGAGGTGTACCCAATTGAATTCTTAATTGAATACATCCCATAGATGATGATCCGAAAAGGATTTTGTCATCCTTTACTTTTGTTTTCTTATGAGCATGATTGGTATGAAGGAATGACATGATAATGGAATGATCATTCTCTTACGCATTCCTTATCCCATGATTGGTATATTTTTAGAAAGGAATTACCATTCCGATGGCAATAGCAAAACTCATCTCCATAGTTAAAGAAAGGTTTTTCTCATTTCCATGTGTGTAGGAATCAATTTTTCAAAAATAAAATTAACCAATTAATAATAATAAAAAATAAATATATAATATATATTATATATATCATGATTAAAATATATTAAATAAAATTATTTTAAAAAATAAAATTCAAATAAAAAAAATTTACTTTTATTTATTGTTTAATTAGATATATTAAATACTTATATAAAAATAAAACTAAAAAAAGTACTTATATATAATTTAAAAATATATTACTTTTAAAAATATGTTATTAATAATATATTATTAAATAATATTAAAAATATATATTATTAAAAATATATTACTTTTTATTTTTATATATTATTAAAAATATATTATTTTAAAAAATAAAATTCAAAAAAAAAATTAAAAACTTACTTTTATTTATTGTTTAATTAAAAATAAAAATATATATTATTAAAAATATGTTACTTTTTATTTTTATATATTATTAAGAATATATAGTTTTTTATATATTGAAAATATATTACTTTTAAGAATATATTATTTTTATATATAATTTGAAAATATATTATTTTATTTTTAAATATTATTAAAAATATATTATATTATTTTTATATATTATTAAAAAATCATTTATGTATAATTTATTATTAACATATTATTTTTTAAACAAAATCTTTTATTTATTTTTATAATAAAAAATGATAATGTCATTCCATTCAGGTCTTATTCCTTCTGCATACCAAACGCAGCAATGACAAAACTTGTTTCATTCCATTCTCATAATCATTTCATTCTTCAATTCATTCCATTCCTACGAAATTTCATTCCATCATACCAATCATACTATAGTGTTGTCAGGGTTGTAGTCCAGGGTGACTTTCAAACAACCACCTAACATTATATACAAAATTCTCATTTTATTTTCAATTCTCTGTTTTATTTTCAATTTAGCATGGCCAAATATTGAAACCCCATAAACAATTCTAATCAACCTATTAATCATACTTTTTCAGATGAAAAGTCCAAAATAATAGTCTAAAGATACCTATATTAATGGCTAATTTATTTATTTTTTCTCTTCTTCCTAATTTCTAATTATTGATAATTACTGATATAAAAGGATGCTTTTAAAAAGTATCTAGGTTATTATTATATATTAAGCTGACATGTTGTTTTAAAAAAAAAATACAATTAAAAGTGATATAGCATCTTTAAGATTTTGGTTATGAAAGTAAGTAAACTTATTTTTATTTTACTATTTATGTGATGGAAGATATACATTTTTTTTTAACCAATAGATTACGATTGTGGTCTTTTGATTTTGTTTCTAATTTTTTATTTTCCTCTGCACCCATTCAAATACCAATACCATTTGTTAGATTCAAATTGATGAAATTTAAATGTTTATGATAAAAATGCACGGCATTTGATTTTAAAAAATAAAATACACGACATTTCATAACGTAAATATGTATTTTTATTAATCATACACATTCTCGGTTACGAAACAACCGGTTACGGTTGGTTAAAAATTCAAAGTAGTAACAATAACCAGTTGTTGGCACTTGAACCGATGATTATTGTTAAGGTCCAGTTTGGATTATTGTATTTCGATTTGAACCGTCAGTTTTCAATTATTATTCTAATATTAAAAATAGAAAATTCTTTAAAAGCTACTGAATTTTGGAAAAAGCGTATGTTTTCCAAAAAAAAGTTGGGCCAGACAGTTTTCCACATTTATTTTTCTGAACTTTGAAAAATTATTAACTTTTGATTTTTTTATTTTGTTCCCTCTCCAAAATTTCAATTTTTTTCTTTTTTCTATTCAATAACCAAACCTTCATGCGGTTCTTATATTTTGCAATCCGTAATCAAACTATCAAATCGTAATAGGAACTACTGTCAACGGCTAACCGAACTATTGATCGACGGTTCAAACTGTCGTTTACAAACCTTAAGCATGTCTATTTGGGATATTGTCATACTTTATTAAAATAACTATAGCCCAGGTAAACATTGAATCCTGGCTACGCCTCTGCTACCAGCTACCCCTTCTCGTCACAATCCGACAAACTTTAATAAACTATTTTGAAAATTTTGACGATAGGTGGCAATGGTGGTTATCGAGCAATGACGGTGAGTGG